AGTCAAACCACCAATTCTTTTAATACATTTTTATAAAAACCCTGGAGATTTATATATTTTGGGGCCTTAGTTTATAAAATAAAGTTTTGGGTGAAAATCCCACGTTAAAATAATGAAAAACGGAGTTAAAACAAAGTCGTAGTCGAAAAACCGGTAAAAAGGGGTCGTCTTTGGGAGAGATTTGGGAGAGATTTCAAATAGAAAGAGATAGAGTGAAAACGATTTAGAGATGTTTCGTTTGTGATTAATTTGAGTGTCCGGCTTCACAACGCAAGGTTCGTAAACCCCGTTAAACCGTGTTTTAGTGTCGTACACAATCCCGATGATTGTGCAATAGTGTTTTATCGCTTTGGTTCGTTGTTTAGCACTGTTAAGGCTAAGGAAAATCAAACACATGAACTTTCCAAATGATGATTTCTCATTAAAATAGCGAATTGTATAGTGATTACATAACGTAAACCCTAACATACAAGGGTTATTGGAGTTGACCGGTTTGACTTGTTGACTTTGACTTGACCGAAATTTGATGGTTGTCACATCACCCCAATTCTGTAAGCATTTATAAACGAGTTTTCCTATAGTCCACCCGTTCTTCATCATCCCTTCTTTAATCTTTCAACTTCTTTTGATGAAACATTCTTGCTAGGATCATTCACGACTGATCGCACTCTTGATGCTTACCTTTAAAATGGAAAAACAAAACGAAAGAGTTTGATTTCATGTAATGATTGTATCACAAATCAAAAAGAATTCTGAATAAAGTATAACTGATTTCTACAATATTCAGGTCCCAAAAGGTTTTCCCTTGCAGTTTGGATCGGTTTTTGTAACATTTTTTAAATACATTTTGTCCCCGAGTATAGCATATTTTGCAATTTTTCTCCCATGAAGTTTTCCCTTTCAACTTTGGTCCTTATTTGTGGTTTTTTGTCTCATACTTGCAACTTTGGTCTTGATTTGAGGTTTTTGTAATGTCTGAAGTCCTGTAGAGTTTTCTCTTGCACCTTTGGTCTTTATTTGAGATTTTTGTAACATTTTAAGTGCTATAAAGTTTTCTCTTCCAAGAATATGAATATAGTTTTGTGACCAAAAATACAAAAATCAGCTACACTAACAAACAAAAAACAATCATTTTATTTGGAACATGGACCAAAAGCAATAATGAGGACTGGAACTTTAAAGAGAACATTTTGGGACCAAAACAGCTATACCCAGGTGACTAAAAATGTAATTTACCAAAAAAATTGCATAATAATAATCAGCTTACATAAGATAGCTACATGTTTCATCCAAGTTTGATTCAGCAGGAGAGATGTTAACAAACATCAATGTCTTGGCTTTTTTACCAAGGGCATCACTCATTAACGATGTGAGCTTGCCATTCATGTAAGGTATGTGCGGGTTCTTGGAAGATAAAGCACTAATAACATCATCAAGTTCTAAAAGTGATTTATTAATATATTTTGCTTCGTCTAATGGCTCTTTATTTCCATTAGAACCCGAATTTTTTACCCTGTCTGAACCAGCAAGATCAACCACGTTCAACTGCATCCAAAAAAAAGTCAAACATTAATCAATAATAATAATAAAGAGTAAATTACAATATTGGTCCAACAAAGTTCTTTTGCAATTTGGTCCTTATAGGAGCCACTTTACTTAAACAGGAATCAAAAATATTACAAGAACCTCAAAGGACAAAGATTGTAAGAGATAACTTTTAGGGACCAAAGTTGCAAAAATCAGCTATACTCGGGGACCAAAAATTGTAATTTGCCTAATCAATATATATTCGAGTTGCTTTTCAAATTAAAATAATGAAATTTACCTTTTATCAAATTAGACCTTGAACTTTCGTCATTCAATAATGTCCTAGCCGTGTGTCGTTGATCTCTGCCTATTTGAATAACATGTTTTAAATCCTCATACGTTGAAACAGGTATAACGGTCGCATTCTCTACCGTCGTCACTCCCTACAGAAAATAATATTTTTGAGTTATGCACATAAGTTTATATTACAAAAATAATTGTTGTTACCTACCTTTAAAGAGAAGTTGAATTTATCGCGATCATTTTCCAAAATTTGAAATAACTCTCAAGTGGCAAGTGGGGTAAGTCCAAGATCATTTTCAGACCCATATATAGTAAAAGTCTTCCCACTACCAATTTGACCATATGCAAATATCCACACGTTATAACCATCAATGAATGGCTGATTGTAAACATTTAAAACAAATAATATTAACATTTTATATGAAAATATACTAATAATAATTGATAACTTTTTATTCTTTGAACTTACCCTTGTGTCATTGAAAACATCTTTTTGAGTGGCACTTCCATCAAACACATGAAATCCATGATCATAAAAATGTTTTTTAATCATTCCGTCTCTTCCTACATGTTGAACTCTAAACTCATCAACACATGTAACCACATCGTTTTCTTTGTGAGTCCTTTCTTTTGGTGTTAAGGGCCTTAATCGGCAGTAAACTCTGATCTTGCCTTTCATATCTGAAATAGCAAAAATATTAAAATTATACTTATTAAATAAAATATTGTATAAAAAAAACTTTAATTTATACCTTTAATAGTATGAAAGTATCGTTTTCTTAAAACCGTCTCCTCTTTATAGAGAAGCTTACATTCAGCCAACCAACTGTGTTGCTTGCATCTTCAACATTTCATCATCTTGCTCATTTTTCCTATCGATATCCTGGAAGAAAAAAAAATATTATCAAAATTTTATAAATTATAGGGAAAACCACAAATAAAACCTATCTATTATCACTCCATGCTTAAAAAAAACCCTTTTACTATTTTTAGGTCCATTTAAACCACTTTTATTTTTGAGACGGCCTAACTTATTTCTTTCATCAGGTTTTCATAGTTAACCGGTTAACAATATGTTTACGGTGCTGTTTGTTTTTTCTGAGGCAAAATGTCTGCAGTCTGCGGACCACATCTGTAGACCTCTGCAGTAGAAGAGGTGGAACAAACGTCTGCAGTCTGAATTAAGAAGATTGTTTGTTTTTTTAACATCTGCAGACTACTAAAATAAACTAAAATCTAAATAAATTGATTTTTTTAACTTCAAAGTGTTTTTTTAATATTTTAATGACTTTATTATAAATAATTAACAAATCTAGATCAACTTTTATGTATTATTATATAAAATGTGAAAATAAAATGGTACGAATTAACGTATATATTTGATAAAAACAACAATTTTGGTCGTAAAGTTATACCTAAACATTGTAATTAAGGATCAAAGAATTTAATACATAAAATTGATGGAAATAAACTTCGATTTTCGAATGAAAATTTTCATTTTACTTTTTCAATTAAACCAATTAAAAACGTACCATAAATATTTTTCTCAAGAAATTGATGATAATGAATTAAATAATGTTTTATAAATTTTGGTATAAAAAATATAAGATAATATTATGATTTTTTTTCATATTTATATAAACAGCTTCAACGACCGATATTATAATAAATCTTTATTTATAGATTTGTCAAAAATGTCATGTTTGTGTCATCGAACATTTTTCTTAAAGTATTGTAACTTATTTTTTTCCAAATTGTTTATCATAATAAAGTTGGAAAAAATATAAGTTAAAAAAAAAAGAAAAAAAAAATAAAGATATATGTGTTTATTATTAATAAAGTTGGAATAAATATAAATTTAAAAAAAATAAAGATATATGTGTTTATCATTAAGAAAGTTGGAATAAATATAAGTTTAAAAAAAAAAGATATATGTGTTTTTTTTAGGCTAAAAGATGTTGAAGATGTCAGAAGTCTGTGGTCAACATCTGCGCCAAGAAGAGGACGCGTAGACCTTTTTAGGTCTGCAGTCTTCGAAAAAACAAACAGTCTGCAGGCTATGTCTACGCGTGGTCTGCATGGCGCAGACAGAGAGGTCAAGAAGATTGCAGAAAAAAAACAAACAGCACCACGCTCTCTTCCAAATCTCCATCTTCAAGAACATGCAGTCGACAATTAGAACAGTATCGGCGATTTCACTATCCCTGGCAAAATTGATTATTGGAACGTGTTTGTACCGATCAGACTATGTCCAATTCGTGATTGGGGTCGCCAATTTGGTGTTTGTGATCACCAATTTGGAGTTTGGATCGCCGACTTGGAGATCGGCGGGAAAACCAGTGTCGACTAAAAAAATTGACGATCCATAATAGCCCCTTTGATTTAGGTTCTAATGCTTCGATTAATGCTTCCAATAGATTCAACTGATTATATATTACATATACCTAAACTCCTATTCTACAATTCCTTCAATTATCTATATGGATCGTCAACTCCAAAATATGGAAAATCAACTGAAAAGAGACAAAGCAGCAGCAACTACCAAAAGCAAAGGAGCAGAAACCATGAAGTCTAGAACCCATATATGCTAATACTTCAAACATCAGACCGGGACCATGAAGTCTTGTTTATGGATTTTTCAAGGGTATAATTGTCACTTTGTTGTCATTATAGGTCTGGAAAGATGAACCGATGCATCAATTAATGAATTAAACAACAATTAACTTAAAAGATGAAAAATTACACTACATGTATTTTAAAACAAATTGGTATGAGGCCTGATGCAAATTAAATTGATTTTTAAGTGTAATTGTCACTTTCTTTTGTCACCACATGTATGGAGTTTTTATCTTTTTTGGTATGTACAACTCTGATATGATGCTACCCAGAAACAAAAAGTTGAGTACAATTTGAGGATTTTGCCCAACTGCAAACAGAATCGGTTTACAGAAAAGAAAAATAAAAGCAGGAAAAATTCCCATATTGCCCCTGCTGTGGAAAATAAAAACAGAAAAGAGATGACTATTTTGCCCTTGATTTGGGTCTCTAGCATACCAGAAAATGGGTCAGATTACATGCATTTGACTATTTTGTCCTTGGTTTGATAAACAAAAAATGGGACAAGAATACACAATGCAATATATAGAACAGTTATACCACTCCATTAACAATATAGCAGGAATATAAACATGTTAAAAGGGGACATGCATTACAAAAGGCTAGGAATACTAAGTTCCAAGTATCAAAAAAACATCACAAACGGCTAGAGTTTTGTCCCATTCCAGTTCATAAATATACTGTTCTAAATTAACAGGTTTGTCCTGTGTAGATCCACTTTCATCCTTATCAAAAATTGGGTTTCGGAGCTTGATCTTAATAATCCTTTCAGATGGTTTTCTTGGTTTGAGATTTGTATGAATAATAGGCACATTAGTTGCTATCCCGCAATCAACCATATGAAATAGATCTTCCAAATTAGCTGCACAAAATTTAAAAGTATTACATTTAATAAGTTGTGACTGTTGGTTTAAATTTAATCACTTACTTCTTGTGTCTCTAAGAAAATAAGAGCTAAAGTATTCTGTTCTGAATATTTTAAATACCACCCTTCAGCTTATTTGCAAATAAATGGGGCATTACTTTATTGATTTCGAATCTAGACTCTGCACTAGCAAAATCCTAATTTCTTACAATTCGGCTTCAAAAGACAAGTAAGCTTTGCCAAAGGGAAACATCACCAGGCAATTTGCCATTATTACAACAGAAAATTAAAGCTTCTCCATTATTAGTGTTTAGCTTACCATTATTAGTGTTTAGCTTACCCTTCTGGTTCAAAATAATCATAAATAGATAATCAAGTTTGTGAATTGAAAGATATAGGGGAATTAAGGAAATACATGATGGATTATGTACTATCCAAAGGAAAATAGAAAACTGAAATAATCAAAATTCCGATCCCCTGTTGATGAACAAACAAACGATTATGATATGATTTATAATTAATAAGATACAATTTGTCTAACAACATGTGAAACTAACGTGTAAGAATGTGCCTTAGCAGTTACCTGCCTACACAACTACAGCGAGGCCTGAAGCAGCGAGAAGTGCAGAAGATGAAGATCCAATGGCAACAAGACCGAGAAGGACAACGAGTGAAAACTACAGAGCGAACGGCGACAAATCGGATGGTAAACGGCATGTCAACGAGGCTAAACTCAAAAGAAGAAGTAGAAGAATGAGATTGCAGCTTCTGGATATATATATATATATATATATATATATATATATATATATATATAGTCGATCAATTTTAACAATTTACATAACATAAGGACCAGTTTGGAAGGGGAAAAAGACAAATAAGTAAAGGATTAGCGTCTTATAACATTAAGCCATGAATAATTGTCTACAGATTAAGTGTTTAACCTATTAAGCCCAATAAGTCAAAAAGAAACAACCCTTTAGCATTAAATTAACCTTATTATCTACTTTGATCTCTACATTTGTATGCTATTGCGGCTTTGGATTTGGAAGTAAAAGATCCACCCAGTTATTTTGGTATAACTATAAACATTAAATAATGATCAAAAAATAATATTTTTGAGTTATGCACATAAGTTTATATTACAAAAATACTTGTTCTTACCTTTAAAGAGAAGTTGAATTTGTCGCGATCCTTTTCCAGAATTTGAAATAACTCTGAAGTGGCAAGTGGGGTAAGTCCAGGATCGTTTTTAGATCCATAAATAGTAAAAGTCTTCCCACTAACAGTTTGACCATATGCAAATATCCACACGTTATAACCATCAATGGTTGATTGTACGAGATACTGCATTACACAAACATTTAAAACAAATAATATTAACATTTTATATAATAATAATAATAATAATAATAATAATTGATAACTATTTATTCTTTGAACTTACCCTTGTGTCATTGAAAACATCTTTTTGAGTGGCACTTCCATCAAACACACGATCATAAAAATGTTTTTTAATCATTCCGTCTCTTCCTACATGTTGAACTGTAAACTCATCAACACATGTAACCACATCGTTTTCTTTGTGAGTCCTTTCTTTTGGTGTCAAGGGCCTTAATCGGCAGTAGACTCTGATCTTGCCTTTCATATCTGTAATAGCAAAAATATTAAAATTATATTTATTAAATAAAATATCTTAAATAAAATAAAACTTTAATTTATACCTTCAATAGTATTAAAGTTTCGTTTTCGTAAAACCGTCTCCTCTTTATAGAGAACCTTATATTCAGCCAACTAACTGTGTTGCTTGCATCTTCAATATTTCATCATCTTGCTCATTTTTCCTATCGATATCCTCGAAGAAGAAAAAATTTTATCAAAATTTTATAAATTATATCATAGTTGAGATATATTTTTTACCCTTTATAGCTATTTTCCAATTTTGGTCCCGAAAAGGTTTTTTTTGCAATTCCAGTCCTTATCTGAGGTTTTGTAAAGTTTTTGCAAAATCAGCTAAAATGAGGGACCATAAATGTAATTTACTCTTATACCAAAGATGACATAAATAAATTACCTCTTTCGTTTCTCTTAAATACTCGAATTCTGTATGCAAATTTGATAACTCATTATCTTGGATTGCAAATCTAGACTATTGGCCAATTTTTGTGTGAGCTCTACTACTTGCTTCTCAAGTTCAGAAATTCGATGCTTTGTCATCTTTCTTTCTTGTTCTAAATCTTTCTCAAGCGTTCGTATCTAATAAATTATGTAAACCATGTTAATATACGCAAATGCATAACTAAATATGAATAATTAAAGAAGATAAAACTTAGATTATAACCTCATCAACTTTCTTCTTTTCAAGTCTTGAAATTCTTTCTTCCAATATCATTTTCTCATTCAACAATTTCTTCTTGTTTTCTTCAGTTGCATGCAACTCTGAGTTACATGTTCTTAACTCATCTTGGATCTTTTGTAAAGCCTATGGGCATATCATCAAGTGATTGATTAAGAATAATAGAATTCAATAAGTCAAAAAAAATCAAGAGTAGATAATAGAAATTGTACCTGAATATCAATAATTTTTGCAATTTTAGTCCCTGTTCTAAGTAAAATGACTATATTACCTATTTTCAAAGTTTTTTTTCAAAAAAAAATTATATTTGGTATATGATTTAACTCTAAATGTTATATTTGGTTTAGTTGTAAATGTTTATTATTTTATTTTATTTTGGTGTTTGATAAAAACATAGTTAAGAATTCAAAATGTATATATATATATATATATATATATATATATATATATATATATATGAATTCAAAATGAATACAAACCTGATTAGTTTCCTCAACTAATTCCCTTTTGGTATTATGACAAATATTGTACATGTTTTTGAATATCAGTGTTATCAGAGTTTTGTCTTATCACAGCTTCAAGCATATGTGTTTCAAACACAACAACTATTTCGTCAGGCTTTATTTGAAACAAAAAATAGTTTATAGTTAGGATAGGAGTATTAAAATAAAGAAATAAGAAAAGTCAAAATGGTCAAACCTTTTTAGTTTCAAACAAAACTACGCAAGACATGATCAACACTCATCTTGCAAAGCATATCAGTTTTTGTGACAGCAAAATGCAGTATTTTTTCTGCTGCAACAGAACATATAAATTTTTTGGTAACTTGACAAAAAAAGTGAACCTATACACAAACAAAAAATTATGTTCAGGTTATATATAAAAAAATAGGAAAATTATATATAACCACGTTTTATTCAGAATGTAAATTTAGAACCTACCTCACATTCATTAATGCCCGGTGTGATTCTTTCAGGTAATAGTCAAATAGGGTCTTTAATTTTGGAAACATTAAAGAAAACCGAATACTCATATGGAAGCATCCTTATGATCCTCAAAAACTCTTGTCTTTCATCTTTATTTGTTAAATTTACCTATACAAACAGATAAAGGAATTGATTATAATAAATTATAATGAAACAGTAGGATCTTCACAACTATATAGTGGACATACGGGAGTGCTTTTTAAAACAGGGAATAGTATTGATGCTCAGGTGTTACCATGGAACCATAACGACTACGTATATCTGATTCTCATTCATTTTTATCACGAGTTATTGCAATTTGTCATGGTAGATATCGCTCCAACCAGTCACTACAAAAAACTTAAAGATTCTTAAAATGCTTGATTGAATGAATAAAACAAAATTAGAAAATTTTAATATATAGATAACTAACGTGCATAACTCTAATTTAGTAACAAATCATTTTTCAACCAAACTTACAATGCTGACAGCTTTGCAGAATCCTCCTTTGCAACCGGATAATTACCCAAGATGTTGACCCTATCTTGGGTAACTATCGGGTTAGAAAGGGGGATTCTGTAAAGGTGTCAGAATTTCAAGTTTGGTTCAAAAATGATTTGTTACTAAACCAGAGTTATGCACGTTAGTTATCTATCTATTTCTTTAAATTTTCTAATTTTATTGTATTCATTCAATCAAACATTTTTAGAATCTTTAAGTTTTGTTTAGTGACCGGTTTGAGCGATATCTACCAAGAAAAATTGCAATAACTCATGATAAAAATGAATGGAGTCGGATATACATAGTTGTTATGGTTCCATGGTAAGACCTAAGCATCAATATTATTACCTGTTTTAAAAAGCATTCCCAAACACCCCATTATGTAGTTTTGAAGATCCTACAGTTTCATTATAATTCATTATAATTAATTCATTTATCTGTTTGTATAAAGAAATCTAACAAAAGAAGATGTAAAACAAGAGGTTTTGAGGATCATTAGGATGCTTCCGTATGGGTATTCGATTTTCTTAATGTTTCCAAGATTAAAAACCTCATTCGACTATTACCTGAAAAAATCACACTGGGGATTAATGAGCGTAGGGAATGTTCTAAATTTTCATTCTGAATAAAACGTGGTTATATATAATTTTGCTATTTTTTATATATACCCTGAACATAATTTTTTGGTTGTGCATAGGTTCACTTTTTTTGTCAAGTTACCAAAAAATTTATACGCTCTGTTGCAGCAGAAAAAATATTGCATTTTGCTGTCACAAAAACTGATATGTTTTGCAAAATGTGTATTGACCATGTTTTGCGTGTATTTCTGTTTGAAATTAAACAGGTTTGATCACTTTGACTTTTCTTATTTCTTTATTTTAATTATGCTATCCTAATTATAGTCTTTTTTTTGTTTCAAATAAAGTCTGACGCAATAGTTGTTGTGTTTGAAACAAATATGTTTGAGGGTGTAATAAGCCAAAACTCTGATAATGTTGTTATTCAAAAAATATGTACAATATTTATCAGAAGCTCTTGAATATGGCTGTAAATGAACCGAACGTTCAGCAAACTACTGTTCGTGAACCGTTCGGCGGGAAGTTCGCTTATGTTCGTTTATTTAATAAATAAACGAACATGAACACAAATTCTCGTTCGTTTAGTTAAACGAACGAACATGAACAATGATCTTGTTCGTTCAATTATGTTCGTGAACATTCGTTTATGTTGTTCGGTTATATTTGTTTATGTTTGTTCATATAAGTTCTTTTAATGTTCATATATGCTTAATTGTATTTGATAACATTAATATATTATATGCTCATTTATGTTCATATATGTTTGAATTATGTTTGTTTATCTTTGTTCATTTATGTTCGTTCGTTTATGTTCATTTAGCATGTTCACGAACATAAACGAACAAACATGAACAATGCAATTTGTTAAACAAACGAACATGAACAATAAAACTCGTTCGTGTTCGTTCATTTGTCTGGCTAACTTAAACGAACGAATATGAACAAACCCCGTTCGTGTTCGTTCGGTTTGTTTACAGCCCTACTCTTCAGAAAGTGAAAAGACTGCAAAACAAGTGAGTAATTTGGTTTCTTTGTTAATAAAGTATATTACAAATTTGGTCCTATTAATATATTGGTAATTTACTTGCTATTTATTGGCTATGGTTAGGGATGAGCAAAGGAACCGACCCGGCTGGAACCGGCCTGGGAACCAAACTTGGTGGAAAATAGGAACCGAACCGGACCGCCGGTTCTGGTTCCGGTTCTTGCCGTGTCTTCAATGTTGGAACCGGTCCTCGAGAAATAGCAATATATGGTTCCGGTTTTTGCCGGTTCTACCGGTTCCGGTTCCTGCCGGTTCCCATCTCGTTATACAAATGTTATATATTTATAATGTTTGTTATTATTATTTTGGTATAATTATTACAATGGCATTTCCATCTCGTTATTTGCATATAGTAAAGGAAACTAAAATCATGTTTTTAGAACCATTACCAAATTATATGCAACAAGTTTTTAAAATAACAAATGTTAAGTTTCATTTTTATTTGTATTACTTCAACGAATAATAAACTTTTTGTTTTAAAGAAGTTATGCAAAAAGCTAAGTTCACATGTTTTCTTACTTCAACCAATGAATATGACTTGTTTTTATATATTAATATGAAGTTGCATTCAACAGCATAACAATTCATAGTATTCTTCATCAAACCAAAAAAAGAGACAATCAAAATAGACTCAATTGCTAACCATAACATGGATCATGATTTAGATCTTGAAAAACATAGTCAAAGTCACCAAGTCTAAAAACAATTGCAACTTCATAGTTTAATCAATTATTTGTCTTTCATAATTGTAATGATTAATGCAAAATTGACGAAAAAAGGAGGAAAGTACAACTATTTTCAGAGAAGGATCGTTGCAATTGATTATCAATTTGAAATTTGATTTTATTGTTTTGTTTTGTGATTTTGATCAACCTTTGACCTACCAACTCCTAGGAGAAAGGGGTAGACATTGGCGAAATAACTAGTCGGAAAATTAAATCAATAACATGGGTACATCGTCCGAAAATCCTCCCTGACACGATCAAAAAACCAACGAATCAGCAAAAATAACGATTATCAAATTGAAGAAATAGCTACAGATCTCACGAAATTTAGGTTTAATAACACATACATGAAAATGAAGAAAGCACTAGCAGGCCTTTTCGGTTTGTTAGGATCCTTTGCTTCCTTAGCCTTCATCGCCGGACCTTCTTCGGTGCCGGCGCTGGTTTCTTCTTCACGGCAAACCTAATCACAGATCGGAAAAACGGAATTAATCAAAACTATCAACAGATTATGTTTACATAAAACGAAAACAGCATAAAAATACCATATCGTGAACACAGATGAAGCTTCGATTGGGCCGACTGACTAAGAAAGTAGTCGCGATTGTTGGCCTTCGACATTGACGAGAGCGACAACTCGAAGAAGGGAGTGTAGCGAGGGTGGCGGCGTTTTTTTTTTGGTAATAATGAATCCCTAAAACCCTAAAAACGATTTAAGGTATAAGTTCTTTATTCCTATTTTGTTAAAAACAAAATCACAAATATATAAAAACTAAAAATATATTTTTTTTTAGAAAAAAGCGGGTATCCGTTGGTTCAGGTTCCGATTAACCGCCGGTTCCGAGTATCCGGTACTGGAACCGGAACCGGCGGGTATCCAGCATGTATCGGTTTTGTAAAAATGAGAATTGGAACCGGAACTACTTAAGGCGGTGTTCCAGTTCCGCAACTTTAGGAACCGAAACCGAAACCGCTTAAGGCAGTTCCAGTTCCAGAACCAGCAATTCCGAGACAGTTCCGATTCCGAAAGCAGGTACCAGCTTCCGCTGCTCATCCCTAACTAAAATGAGTTAAATTCACCTTATTTTTTTTTGAGTAAATTACATGTTTGGTCCTTTTTTTTTGTTTTTTAGTATTTTTATTTTTTTTGAAAGTATAACATTTATCTTGCTCCCTAATTCAAACTTTTGTTACACATTTGTTTTTATTAAAGCATAACATTTATCTTCTACTGCAACCTTCTACGATTTGAGTCCTTAAACGTCAAATATAGTACAAATTGACTATATGATTCTATTCGGTAATTTTAAGTTATAATTCTATGTGATTTATGCATGATTTTTTGTAATACTTAATTGTGTTGTGAATTATGAGTGGGTTATGGAAGTCTTTCTAACTCAATTATGTATGTGCTTTTAGAAGTTTTTTTTTGTTGGTTAAAAAGTATTTGCGGATTTGTTTTTTCTAAAAACGGGAAAGAAAAACAACCACCATGGTTATTATTGTTGTTGTGGGCATGATTAGGTGATGTGTCAGCCGATGTATCAGATGGTTTTTGAGTGACTAAAGCAATTTGTTGGGTCAAAAATATGGTTTATACTTTGTTTTTCTAGGAAAATGTAATTTTATGTCTAGGACCGTAAACAGCTTGGTGTTTACGGTCGTATACGTGTTTACGGTTGTGTTTACGGACGTAAACAGGTTTACGGCCGTAAACCCATTTACGGCCCATGTTCACCAAGCCCATGTTTCTTATGTATAAATATAGGTG